GAGATTTCGAAGATTTAATCGATGAAAGTAATAATTTTGTAGCATCTTGAAAATTTTATCGAAATCAGAGACAATCTTAAAATTTAATAAGCAAGATAGTAAGAAATAGAAATATTACAATATTCTGACAATATTCCCTTTGCTCAACACGAATAATATAAATTAATTTTTATATAAATATAATTTCTGTCAAGAATTGATTATCAAATTTTTATCACATTTCTATATCGATCGTTCTTCGATTACGTGCTTAATACATGCTTGCTGATATTCGTCTTGAGGATATTCTCCAAGTGCACTGCAGAGAATTCCTCGCCAGATCTCAAGGATTACCGTACATTCAAACCGGATTGATTGGCTTAATTAAAAAGTTCCGCACTGGTTTCACCACGAGCCAGAATTTCGCGCTGGTTCTAAGCCGATATTACTCGCCACACTCACCGCTAACCTTCGACGCGATTAACCCCGTTGTTTAATTCCTCTCCGCGCGGAAAATAGTTACCTCGCGAAGCTGATAGGAGGACCTTTCGTACATATTGGAACAACATTGTTCCAACGGATTTGAACGGAAAAATCTGTAAGTGAAAAACGTACAACGATCTGGAAAATTTGAATCTTTCGAAAATTCTTTACCATTTTGCAATGTATTATAGAAATTTAAACGAGAAATTTATATCTGTAAATTTTTGAGATTTTTTGACAAAGAAATTGTATTCTTTTTCTCTAAGAATACAGTGAATATGTAATAAAATAAATAAGTTATTAATATTAGCAATAGTACGAGTATTATTAGTTTTCTGAGTTATATTCTGTATATTTTTATGACAAAGATACGCATGGTTTGAACTCGTATGAAGAATAAAGTTGGATAGAAAGGAAAATGTAAGAAAAGGAAATTCAAAGATAATCTCGAAGAAATCTATAAAAAAGACATTTCCTTCCTGTCTTCTTATTTCCAAAACAATCGCTTATATCGTTGAAACTGTTATATTCCTTGTAACGCCTCGTGAATAATAGACATCCGTAACGACGAGCCCAATGAATGACAATTCCATATTGGCGAAACTTACGTAGGAAACTTGCGGCGAAAGTTTCCCGGATCGAAAACAGGCAGTGGCACGCGAATGTTAGAATATTGAAGTTTATTTTAGAGGCCAATCGAAATTCGTTGGCGAAGGAACGGCGTGGGAGTCGTACTATTCCAGGGTCGCAGCTTTCAAACTGCGGCACAATTAAAACTTACACGTGGCACAATCAAGGGAACGGCATGGAAGGCACCCCTTGTCTCGAAACTTGCGAATATTATAGCCGTACAGACGACCAGAGATCTTCCAAGCGGAAGTTCAGAGAGAGATAAGCGCAATCAACGAGGCCGTTCCACTCATAATTACATGTTACTTTAATGAGTTTGATCTACGAGGAATTTTCTAAGAATTTTCAGACATCTGTTCGACAAGAAAAGGGAAAAGGGATTTATCGATCTTTTCTTCCTCGCGTGTGATTGCATTATCTTTTACATTATCTTTTACATTGTGAATTAATTCGATCAGAAAGTCTTGACTTTAATAAAATAAAATTATTATTGGCTTTGATAATATAATTTGTTAATGAAAACTTTTGGCATTGACTGTTGTACATTATTAATCAAAAATAAATTATCTAAATGAACAATAAGATGAAATTGTGCACACCTTATATTTCAAATTAATAAGTTTTCTTTAACAACAAGTTTTTAATCATAGTTACTTGTTACTTTGTAATTAAGATTATTGCCTCTATATAATAATTGTTTACTTCGATTGGAAATACTTAACGATAAATTAAAATGTTTTATACAGGTAATTGTTTTCCAATTCTTGAAATGTAATTCGATTTCT